ACAGTCCCTACAGTCCCTTCAGTCCTCACAGTCACTACAGTCACTACAGTCCCTACAGTCCCCACAGTCCCTACAGTCCCTACAGTCCTCACAGTCCCTACAGTCCCTTCAGTCCTCACAGTCATTACAGTCACTACAGTCCGTACAGTCTCTACAGTCCTCACAGTCCCTACAGTCCCCACAGTCCCCACAGTCCCTTCAGTCCTCACAGTCACTACAGTCCCTACAGTCCCTTCAGTCCTCACAGTCCCTACAGTCCCCACAGTCCCTTCAGTCCTCACAGTCACTACAGTCCTCACAGTCCCTACAGTCCCCACAGTCCTTACAGTCCCCACAGTGCCTACAGTCCCCACAGTCCCTGCAGTCCTCGCAGTCCTCACAGTCCCCACGGTCCCTAGAGTCCCTACAGTCCCTTCAGTCCTCACAGTCACTACAGTCCCTACAGTCCCTTCAGTCCTCACAGTCCCTACAGTTCCCACAGTCCCTTCAGTCCTCACAGTCACTACAGTCACTACAGTCCTCACAGTCCCTACAGTCCCCACGGTCCCTAGAGTCCCTACAGCCCTTTCGAATCTTCGCACTCTTTGAACAGACTTTTCCTGATGTCATGACCACCGTTTCAGTTCTGTTCCCATATACCTGTGTCTGAACTGGTATGTAGAAAAAAAACACCTGTACCAGTACGTGTGTGTGTGTGTTAGTGTGTGTGTGTGTGTGTGTGTTACTCACAGAGTGTCTGTGTCGGGGGTCAGCAGGTCATGGTCGGCTCTCAGTGGAACGCAGCGACGCTTCATACGAGCTCTGTCCTCACAATGCTGCTGCCGCGGCAACCAAGCTGACACAAAGAGACTGAATACACACACACATACAACGGTTGGGGGAGGGGAGAGGATGACATCAGCAGCTCTGATTGGTCGGTTTGATAGAAGAAGGAGGATTAAACTGAGCAGCTCGTCAGAAGTAATTAACCTGACGAGACCACAGACTGTTTACATCAGCACTCACTGACAGTGTGTTACTGTGTGTGTGTGTGTGTGTGTGTGTGTGTGTGGTCTTCAGGTGAGACTGATCATGTGAGTCATTGGTCCTCATGCAGCAGCATCCTCTTAAATCTCTGTCATGACAAAAAAAATAACAACAGAAATAAACATTATGAATCAGATCTGCTCGACCCAGGTGTGCTGCACGACCACCAGTCACCTGTCAGCACAGGTAGAGCAGGAGCCCCATATACAAAGGTAATGTTTATGCTGCAGAGACCGCAGGTTTGATTCCAGCCCTCGTCGCCCCCTCTCTGCTCCTCCACTCTTCTGACTGTCATTAAGACAGACTCATGCGTGAACACAACATTTTATTCCCTGGATGTTAATTTACAAGACCTGAAGCTGACAGCAGCAGACACACCTGAGCAGGTACACACACACACACACACTGTGAGTTCAGTGTTTGACTGTGATTCTGGATCCAGTCCTCAGTGAGTTGATGGTTTTAGTTGTTATGTCATTTTATTCTCAGTAAAGATTTTACACTTCAGTCATTCATCAGGATCTGATTATTTAAATGGTTCCTTCAACAAGGTGTTTTAGCATCATCACCAGCTCTGTTTCCTGTCTGTAGGACTGTCTGTTTATTTATTTATTTTATTTAACCTTTATTTACCTAGGAGGTCCCATTGAGATTAAAAACCTCTTTTTCAAGGGAGACCTGGCCAAGACAAGCAGCAGCATAAAATAAAAAAAAGTTACAGACATAACATAAAAAGGACAACATCATAGGAGTACATACAGTAAAAAGAGTAAATTAGTAATAATTTTACTTAAACTAGTTCATTGCACAGAATTAAGAGCACTGACAGCTTAAAGAAGCTGCCTCTAAGTCCCTACGTTTAGATTTAAACTCATTTAGAGAAACTAGAAGAGAAACTTAAGATTCCTCTTAGGAACAATAAGTGGCTTTAATTTGGGCACCTTAGTGTTCCTTAGAGCAGCAACAACACGGTGGCTGCTTAAGTCATTGCAAAACACACCGATAGCTGAAAATTTATGAGGAACATTTATAAGAATCAAGTCAATTAAGGTGGACTTCTCAATACATTTAAGATTTGGATGAGTGGGTGAGTTAATCAGCTGGGTAAGATTGACAGAATCACAAAAGGATTTGAACTCATCAGATACTGGCTTAAGCCAATCCCAATTTAGATCACCAGCTAAAACAAGTTCATTGTACTTTAGTCTGGATAAAAGGTGTGACAAAGAATGCAATGCATCTTTTGAGGCAGACGGAGGCCTATAACAACCAACAACAGTTATGTTGATGTTTTTGGCAATTTCCACATTTAAAGCCAGGAATTCCAAGTGCTTACCGATTGATTCAGACAGAACAACCCTGGTGTGGAGGCTAGATTTGACAAAAACAGCAACACCGCCTCCTTTCCATGGTTTGTCAGAGCGATAAACATTGTATCCAGCAATGTCAATATCTGAATCAGAAACTGATTTTGTTAACCAAATTTCAGATATTACAACAATGTCCGCCTCAGTTGAATTAACCCATATTCGAACCATGTCCATTTTTGATAACAAGCTGCGTACATTAAGATGAATAATACTTAAGCCAGACAGATGTTTAAAGTCAGCTGGGGTCAAAATACATTGCAACTCAGGACCAGGATTAGGCTGCACGTTACCAGACGTAAGTAGTAATAAAACAATCAACCATTTCTGTTTAGCTCTATTAGACCTTAGTGGTTTCATTAAAGTATCTCTCTTAGTATGTAGTCCTAATACAAAGACACGAGTGCAACTTGAAGAAACAGTAAAATTGTCTTTTAGAGACATAAGGCTGTGCAGACGTGTTAAGTCCATAGCTCAATGGTGAGAGTTAAAGGCTGGGGTAACAATGCAGAACCCAGCGGCCTGACAGAGGCGCTCGAGGCTGCACTGTCATAATGGCAGGAGCGATCCAAACAGACCCGGGAATGCAGGACTATGGTTGAGCCATAATGAGTCCTGACCAAACAGCCCA